TTAAGCACACCACACTTATTAAGAAGTAGCTGGTTATTGTGGGGTAGAAACCCAGATCTTTAATTTTAGTGCATTTTCGACACAGCTTCCTGCCTTGCACCGCCGCACTGGAGATAATTGTGGAAATCTACATATTGAGAGGGAGGCTAACGTCGCGGTCTGCTTTGGAGTGGGGCCTCTTGTTCTGCTGTAATTCATGTGGTACGATGAATATTACCACCTGAATTAGGCTATTATGCTGCCAGGTGGAGGCCAGCGGAGTTACAGGAAATAGTGATCATCATGTCATGATAATGAAGCAATTACTACAGGCTATTCACGGTACAATATTGACCACCAGGCCGCAATCAGCAGTGGCTAGATATGACATGGCTGTTATGTCGAGTGGAATATTTATTGAGATCTCATTTACTCTTCCTCCCTGCTTCTGCTGGACAGACTGTGGTACGCTGCAGCGGCAGAGGCCTGAGGCGTCCAGCCCATGTGGGCTCACTGCGTAAAACACCCAATCCATTCGGAAATACACCGCTTACATGAGCCACATCAAATTCTGAATATTGTCATGTTCAGAATAATACTGGTATACGAGTGTGCTTCATAGTTACCACTTGAACGTGACCAGATGTCGTCCCTGGGTGTTTGCTGAAACCATGTTTTTCTTGGGAGGACCGTCTCAAAACGTCCCAGTTGAAAATCTTACTTGTGAGTCGCTGTTCAGACCCATTCACAAGGTTTTTGTTTTTTACAAAATCCGGCTCGTTTCACTAGCATTAGGAGTTTCCCATATCACCACTGATAGACAAAATTGGTGTAAACTTGTGAACTACGAGAAATAACTAAAAAGCTCTGGGATGAACTGATGAACTCTGTTACATTTGACATGGTCATGGAACCCCCAAAATGTCAGTGAGCATGTGTATTATAAGATCCTTCCTTAGTGACATTACCCGTTACCTTGAGAAAAACCGGTGCACCCGTCTGCATTACATGACAGGGGATTTCAGAGATGAAACTTGGGGCCAACCGGAGCTGAATATTACAAAAGTGACAGTAGTTGTGCGAGAGCGGCGGAGATAAGACGTGCAGTTCAAGGATATGTGGCTCAAGGTGGATTTATTGTAGTCGGACACTACAGAGAGCCGTACAGCGAGTGTCAGATCATCAGAGGCCATTCTGTTGGATTGAAGATCAGTTGATAGCTCTATACCAGTCAACTTCTTTGTCCAAGATACACTCTGGTGTTGGTGGAAGACTGACACACATCTGCATGTAAAATGCTGCTCAGCCGCCATGGAGAAGTCACGTGCCATATACTGTGTAGGGGTGTAAGAAAATATCGAGTATTGAGATAGTGTGTTTTGTGATACTGTCTTTGATTTTCATAACACTGTGAAACTGTGAACTCCATCAATACTTCACTTCCTTTGTAAAGAAATGTGTCCCTCAGTATATGTGTCCAATCAAAGTAGTGCTGTGATGTGGGATGTTTCAGGGATTAATGCCAATGCAGATTACATCGCAAAGTCAACTTTTTTTACTCCGATTTTATGCACATGGTGGTGTGTTCTTCATACCATGATTTTCAGCAGATTTAAAATATTGCCTACCTTACAACAATGTATCATCATACATATGATATCTTACATAAAGTAACTCCTCATTTTTCGTGTGTTTTCCTACAAAAGACAGCAACACGTGTCAATTTCCATTCGTTATATGCGTACGGTCTGTTCAACATGAACCGGACACTACTCAGTTAGGTTTAGAAGAAGATCGTGAAATATTTATTTCGTTTTTGGCAACAAAACTACTGAGCTTTAGGAAAAAATCTTCGTTTGGGTTGAAATGACTATGGAAGTGCCGTTATTTGAGATCGCTGTTTGTTGGACTCCACTACCTTCCCTCTTACACTTCCTCGTTCATGATCACCTGGGTAACACATGGGTAACAATTATTCCGTGGGATATCTACGAATTTCGGCTCATTGTTTTTCGTGGGTAGAGCTACGAATGCTGGATGAGCCCAGCCTGCTTACAGTATCACAATATTTCGTAATATATTGACTGGTCACCCTTGTATCGTGATCACCAGATTCTCGCCAGTACACAGCCCTAATACTGTAGAGAGAGAAAAAGCCTGAAAGTGTATAAGAACAATGTTTTATTGGGCTGTTGACGGGAAAGGTCCAAATATGATGTACCGTACTGTTGAGTCTGCGAAAACTAATGCACGTGCCTCAGGAATTCCCGGGTCTAGTCTAACACAAAGCTCACCACCCTCTTACCGCATTGCCCCCCCACCACACCCCCTTTAATGCCATTGGGCCCAGGTCTACTGCTGCCTCCCTGCTAATGAGAACCAGTCCCATCCAGCCCCATATAAACCCACTAACACACACTTGCCTCTGATCTCAGACCAGTAAACGTAGTCAGTGCGGCCAGGTCCCACCACTTTACAGCTGCAAATTTAGCCACACAGCCCTGTGTTATCATAACCTTTCATGTAAAAAAGAAAGGAAAAGAAGTTGCTAACATAGGTGCATATGGCACTTTGGGGACTGTTAAATATATAGAACACACATATATAGTAATCTAATAATGGGGAAATGTCCACCAGATGTGGGATGGTGTAAATACAGATATCCAGATAGTGTTTATTATATGGAAGTGATCCCCTATCGTTACAGCTCTGCTCCAATCCATGTATCTGTGGTGTGTATCGCTGCCTGGCGTCGCAAACGGCTCCTTTTGGGTTTTTGTGGGATTGTTGAAATGGTTGATATTAGCCAACACTTTAATTTAGTCATTTGTCAAACCCTAATGCTAAAACAACAGCAGATTAAACAAGTTCAAAGTAAATCAATCGAATAAAGAAAAGCAAATACACTGATCATAGATGTGAACACACAACTATGATCCTTTCACAGTACTATAACTGTCTCAGAAAATAGCATGGTATACGCCATTACATTATTATTATTTGTATTATTATTATATCATATATTATTATTATGAAGTAGTTGTTTCTTTTTTTAATTAAAAAAAAATGATATATCAGTTACAATGACCCTTAAAGAAATGACAACAGAATTATAACATTAAACAGAATTAAAAACCTGACTTAAAAGAATAACATGTAACTATGAAATAATTAACGGAGGCGCTTCAGTTTACATGTTAGCGGCACATTAGCATGTCCAATTTACTATTAAATGATAACTTAACTGCAGGTGTGCGACAGCACAGCGACACTGCTCCTGTCTATACCTCTTCACCACTTTTACTACTTATACTCATATCAGTTTTTACCAATACCGTAGACATGCAAATGTACACGGTATGATAACCGTAATCTTCATACTGCGGTACAACCCTACCACCACCCCGTTTTGTTTTAGCTTGGTGATTGTCCCAGCAGATTGTGTAAACATCATTACATCATACACTACTCACCGTATTGTTGAGGGTACGCCTGTCCTTTGCATTCTTGGGTACAGCTTTGGGCAGAAAAGATGTCTCCAAGTTTCCTATAGCTTCAGTGGAACTAGGTAATATGTGTTGTCTTTTATGTGCAACTCAGCTACATCACCTTTTGTTTTGTTTTTGGAAACGTGACCTCCATAATTGCTTTTCTCCGGGGTCAAAAAGGGAAACAGAAACATCACAATGTATCGTGATGTCGTGTATACTGTATGTAGGGCTGACTTGATCGACAGCAAATAATCGTTTTTATTAAATTTTCTTTGGTTGCAGCATCTAAAAATGTGACAATGTGCTGCTTATCTTTGTCAGACGTGTGATTGTCCACCACTCAAACATATTGAACTCACTGTTGATTGGTCTAAACAAGACTCTTAGAGACGTGGATATTACACATCACTTTTATTTTTAACCCCTTGGTTGCCAGTTTACTGTAAAACGAGCTCCTGTGTGAGAGCAGAACGAAGGTAGCACGGTGAAACGCTGATTGTTGGTCTCTGTTATCGACCTCTGCTCCTCATGTCCTGTCTCTACCCAACATCAAGGCGCCTCCACTCTCTCTCCCGCTTCTCAGTTTTCTTCCCTCATAGTGAAACCTACTTTTAAATTACGCCCACCCTCTTTTTTTTGTACTTCAATTACATTATAATATATTTGCCTTTTTAAGTATGGCTTTTTAAAATTCCCCCCTGAGCGGTATACGCACAGATATCTCTCTCTCTCTCTCTCTCTCTCTCTCTCTCTCTCTCTGTGTCTGTGTCTGTGTGTGCGTATGTGTATGTGTGTGTGTGTGTGTGTGTGTGTGTGTGTGTGTGTGTGTGTGTCCCGAAAATCACTGAGAGCTCTACCTTTTTTTTATTTTTCCAGCAGTCTACCATTTGTCTGGTGTCAACCTTTTGCCATATTTTCTCCCCCAAGCCTTTTGCGAGCACTGTTCCCAGTCTCCATATACCTGAGAGCACTAAAGTGCTGGGAGCAACCTGCATTGGTTTTAAAATGCTCCGCTCCAACCGCGACATCTCAGCACAGATTAGGCGTGATTGGGACTGGAGGGCGTGTGGGAGCGTAGTTGACGGGATTAAGTGGCTATTGAAGTGACTTTCTGCTCCTTTTTTAAGAGAGTGAAAGACAAGAAAAGACTCATTCAGCACCCCCCCCCTTTCAACAGAAGGAACACACCCCCTCTCCCTCTTCCTTAGGAGGACACTAATTACAAATATGATCCCTTGAAGGGCTTCTGATACCCGGCGAGAGTTGGATGGCGTGAGAAGCTGTTCCCCGCCGTAATTAGACGTATCTGATCCTAAACATTTAGTCACTCATTAGGGCCAGTGGTTTCGGAGGCCAGATTGACGGAACAAATAATTAAGACGTGTGCGCAATGATTGTGATTATCGGTGTGCGCAATTGTGTGTGGGCGGATGGAAGGGGGCACACGAGCCAAACTCACTGCTTGACTGTGTGTGTGTGTGTGTGTGTGTGTGTGTGTGTGTGTGTGTGTGTGT